TTTATTCGCAGAAATGTTCCCGTGTAATGTAGTGATGCCAGATCCATTTTTATCTTAGTTATAAAGGCAAGGAGTGTATGAGTATTATTGTTTTTTCATAAATGTTTTGATATACCTGTGGCGAAAGTAACCTCGCAACGGGCATTTGGAGGGGCCTGCTTGCCAGTCTCTTGCCCCAGGACTATGGTCCAGGCATTCGACCTTGGTTCAGGACTGTGGAAAGGTTTTGTTTGTGACTTTTCCCTTGTCTGGTTCGGTATATGGGAACTACCGAACGGATTAGACTTATACTGTTCGAATGCCAGACCAACTCCCAAACAGTTGGACCAACCAGGTCTTGTGCTGCTCCCGAACAATCAACACAGACTAAATGTGAACTGGTTGCATTGGTATTTTTGTTGTATTGTGAACTCCCGCAGGAGACCGACGGCACAGCCTGATTTCAAGAAACACTTTTGGGCATGAGCCTCATGTATGGCCGGTCAAATTATGACCTCCATGGAAATCCCAAAGCCATGAACCGATCTGGGTGATTTTTGGATATGTTGGTCCCCCAGATCGGGGCTATTAGGGGATGTGACTTGTGTGTGGTTTTCATGTGTTTTGGGGGTACTTTTGGGATGTTAAAATATATGTTTTCTGTGCCTGGAGAAAATTGAGTTTAATACATTTCCTGACTCAATTATCTCTCAGGCACAGAAAACATATATTTTACCTTGTTTTGTGTGGGAGTGTCCTGGATCTGGGGATTTCTATACTCCCTTGGATTATTATTACTAGCGCTTGTAAGATCTATCCTGCTTTACTCTCTGGATTGGGAGAGGTCTACCCACTGGAAGCTGGATCCTGATCTTGGGCCCAGGGTGGGTGGAGGACAGCGAGACTCCAACCAAGCTGTAATGCTGGCTGCGGGGTTTACAGTGGTTATGGTGTCTGGTGGAGTGCTTGGAGTACTTGGGGTTGCTAGGAAGCAGCGACTGCTGGAGGCAGTACCCATCAGGCTTTAGCAGATTCCATTAACAAAAGTGGTATTAGTGGAGTTTTTATTTGGTTGGGGCCATTGCTAGTATACAAAGGAGTCTATCAGGATTAGGCCTATATGAAAATATTGGTGAGATAGCAGCATGGTTTACTCTGATCAGCCACAGCATTAAAACCACTGACAGATGAAATGAATAGCATTGATTACACATCTTGGTATCTGTCAAGGATTGGGATCTATTAAGCAGTGAAGGAACAGGCAGTTCTTTATTTTCATGTGTTGGAAACCAGAAAACTGGGTAAGAGCATTTCCAAAATGACAATTATTGTGGGGTGTTCCCAATATGCACTGGTTAATACCTACCAAAGTGGTGCAAGGAAGGACAACTATTGAACTGGTGTCAGGGTCATGAGCACTGAAGGCTCATTGATGCACGTGTGGAGTGAAGGGTAGCCCGTCTGGTCCAGAAGAAGAGCTACTGTATCTCAAATTGAAGAAAAACTTAATTCTGGCCATTATAGAAAGGTGTCAGAACACACAGTGCATCACAGTTTGTGGCTTATGGGGCTCTGTAGCCTGAAAGCACCTTCAATGTGCACGTGAGCATCAAAATTGGACCATGGAGCAATGAAAGAAGGTTGACTGGTCCGGTGAAACACGTTTTCTTTTAGATCAGGTGGATGACTGGGTGCATGTGCATCGCTTATCTGGGGATGGCAGCAGGATTTGAAGAAGGTAGGCCGACAGAGGCAGTGTTATGCTCTAGACAATGTTCTGCTGGAAATCCTTGGGTCCTGGCATTCACGTGGATGTTACTTTGACATGTACCACCTACCAAGAGAATGTTGCCAAACATGTATACCCCTCCATATCAATGGTGTTCCCTGATGGCAGTGGCATCTTTCAGTAGAATAATGCATTCTGCCACACTGCAACAATTGTTCAGGAATGGTTTGTGGAAAGACAAAGAGTTCAGAGAGTTGCCTTGGCCTCCAAATTCCCCAGATCTCAATCTAATTGAGCATCTCTGGGATGTGCTTGGACAACAAATCTATGGAGGCCCAACCTTGTAACTTGCAGGACTTAAAAGATCTGCAGCTGCTTTCTTGGTGAAATATAACACAGGACATGTTCAGAGGTCTTTTGGAGTCCATGCCTCAATATTAGGGTTGTGCATGGGGAAAATATTCAATTCGGTTCGGCATTCTGAAATTCGGGACTTCGGCACTTCGAATGTTCTCTTGCAGCCGCTTATTAGATAACTCGCTAATTGCCCAGTATTAGGGAGTTATCTACCAAAAGGCTGAAAGACCTAAATTGGTCTTTCAGCCAAATTTACTAAAATTAAGTAAAGATTACTTAGTATTAGTAAATTCTGCCCCTACTCACTACACCGTGTGTAGGGGCATGTCTATTAAACAGTGAGCAGCCTGTGGCTGCTCCCTGTTAAAAACAAAAAAGAACCAAAAAATGTCCCCCCCCCCCCGAGCCCCCACCCATGCCACGCAAGTGGGGGCTTTTAAACCCCCAGACCCCACCCCTGAGTGGCGGGTGGGTGCCCTAAAATAAAATAAGGGGGGGGACCTATTGTCCTCCCCCCAGCCCCCACCCCCAAGCGGCGGGTGGCCCTAAAGAAATATAAGGGGGACCTATTGTCCCACCCCTGAGCGGTGGGTGGGGGGGCCATAAATTAGAATAGAGGGGACCTTATTTTCCTCCCACCCCGGCCCCCACCCCTGAGCCACCCACCCCTGATAAAAATGTAACCCCCCCAGGTTACAAGGGGTCCCCAAACCCCTAGTCACCCCCTCCCAACAAGATTAATGAACCCCTGCCTACCCCCCTCACCCTAAAAATAGTGAGGGGGGAGTAATAACAAGGTACCTGTAAAAAAATAAATGAAACTTACTATTTGATGTCCTCTTTTTTCTAAAATCTTCATTTTTCAGCCCCAAATAAAAATCCATAATAACCGTTGCACAAAAAAAATCCACCGAAACCCCCCTCCGATGCTGAAAAAGTAATCCATCTTCACCCATGGAGGGCACCGCGCATATTGAGCTACGCAGGGTGGGGGAAGGCTTATAAAGCCTTGCCCCGCACTGCAATTAAGCGCAGAGCACTCTGGTTGGTTCGTTTAAGCCATCCAATCTGAGTGCTCTGACAGGTAAATGAAGAGACTGACAGGTAAGTCTCTACATTTACCTGTCACAGCACTCTGATTGGTTAGCTTGAAATTCAACCAATCAGAGTGCTCTGTGTAATTTTACATAGCGTGGGAAAGTTCTTTGGAATTTTCCCACGCTGTGTAATTTGACTCATAACTCTCTGATTGGTTACTTTCAATCAACCAATAAGAGTGTTGTTATGAGTCGTCATCCCCTCTTATTGGTATTTAGAGCCCCCACCCACGGCTCAGGGGTGGGAGCCAGGGGGAATTCTGGGCCCGCAACACACCATTCAGGGTTGGGCATCAGGGGGGAGGACAATATGTCCCCCCCCCCTTATTCTAATTTAGGATTTAGGGCCCCCATCACACATGGGTGGGGACCGAGGGGAGGACAATATTTCCCTTATTTTACTTTAGGGCCCCCACCCACCACTCAGGGGTGGGGACCAGGGGGGAGGACAATAGTTTCCCCCCTTATTCTAATTTAGGGCCCCCACCTGCCTCTCAGGGGTGGGGGCCGGGGGGGAGGACAATAGGTTCACCCCCTTATTTTACTTTAGGGCCCCCACCTGCTGCTCAGGGGCTGGCTCAGGGGGGGCAATAGGTCCGTTTGTCCAAATTTCCCCCGAAATGTGTCCGAATTGACATTCGGAATGAAACTCAATATTGAATTTCAATGTTATGACAGCAAGAAAGGGACTGACATAATATTAGGGAGTTGGTTTTTAATGTTATGACTGATCAGTGCATAAGGAACTCTCTTACATGGTGAATTTCTTCAGATGTCTCAATTGATAGCACTCCAGTTACAGTATCTCACAGTTACAGGCTCAGCTGACAGCAAAAGTCATTTCAGTCTTTTCTTGTTCAGAGATTCATAATGTACTTTTGAGTGAGTCAACTATATCTAAATCTTGTCAAAAAGTATGGGGTTTCTATTTTGCCCAATTGCATTACAAAGGTGCTAGTGACATATTCTGAACCAGCGGTATGTCTTGAGGACTGGTTTAGGAACCACTAACCCAGATCCATGAAAGAACATTGTCACGGAATTTATCCTTCCTTGGTACATACTTTTATGTTGTTTTGTAGTATGAGTTAAGAAGAACAAATCCTTCTTTACAAGCAGCCCTTTGTGTCAAGGTTGACTATAAACAACCAGAAAAAAACATAATGCATTCGATAAATTAAAAGTAAATTCCCATATGCTGTTTTTCAATATGATTTCTTTGGACATCTTACCATTCAAGAGTGTCTGACAAATAGCATCTGACATACTCCATAAAGCAGGAAATATGAAAAACACAGCAAATTGACTTGGGTGTGGATGCCAGAGCAAAAGAGCAATTATGCAGGAAGCACTTGTTAGTGCAGCTGTTGTAAGGATAAGAAATAAAAATAATTATCAAATAAATATTAATTTATAGAAATATTCTCAGAATATTGAATATGTTTTCCGTTCACATCAGCTATAGCCAAATATATTGTATGGTTCTCTAGTTTTAAACACTACTCTTTGCACCTATAGACTAATTTGAACTAATTTGTAGAGAAATACACTGACTTGGCAGTGGTGGCTTGTTAAGGTTTTAAGAAGAGGTGTGCTTAACTCTATCCTTGAAATTTTACTATGCTCTCTCTCTTGTTGGATCTGCCCATTTAAACTCCATATACTCGATCCTTGACGCAATGAGATTTCATGTCTGAATCATGTCTGAAGGGAATGGGCAAAAAAAAGAATCCTGCATATGATGGAATATCCTTTTACAGGGACTAGTGATGTCGCGAACCGTCCGCGAACGGTTCGCCACGAACGATTCGCCGCGGTTTCGTGGCGAACTCCGGTCAGCTGACACATCCCTGCCAATCTCCGGCAGACCCTCCCTCCCAGACCCTCCCACCTCCTGGACAGCATCCATGTTGAAGCTGCCTTCAACATGGATGCTGTCCAGGAGGTGGGAGGGTCTAGGAGGGAGGGTCTGCTGGAGATTGGCAGGGATGTGTCAGCTGACCGGAGTTTGCCACGAACAGTTCGTGGCGAACCGCGGCGAACCATTCGCGGCAAGTTCGTGGACGGTTCGCGACATCACTAACAGGGACATTCTGCCATTTAATAGCAATCTGTTTTCTTTGTTTTCTTCATATGAAGACCAATTACTTCAGATTGCTGTTTGAATACCATGATGAGCAAGTTTTGTCTATAAGTTTGTAACAACATTATCAATGTTCTGCATAGATATAAGTATTACACACATTTAACATTGTTACTTAAGAGACGTTTGTATCTGTATACGTATAGATCTTAAATCTCAATCTAAATGAAACGTTTAAATTGTAAAACATTGAATAAGACATTTATATGGGCAAAACATATTCTACCTCCCATATAAAAGCCTTATTAATTAATACAAAGAGACTTTCTTGATACAAAATATACTAAACACAAGAATCTAAAAAATATCAACCAATTAAAAACTATATTTGTAATTATGAAAAGTGACATAATTCACAACCACCAATTAACTATATTTTAATGGAGGAAAATATAATTCATAAATATTAATATTTATTAAATAACCCACATTTAAAAAAAAAAAAATTATTCAAATTAAAAAAAAAAAAACTTTAACAAAAAACATAAATTGTGGCAGGTGTATTGCATTTTTTTTTTTTTAAATATCCATTATCAAAAGAAGAAAATAAACTCTTTCAAATCTAACAATAAAGATTATGAAATAAAGGAATTAATAACTTATTATAAAACAAATGTTATATATAAATTAAATTGTCCTTGTAGCTTTAAATATATTGGAAAAACTAAAAGACCTCTTCACAGAAGATTAGAGCAACATATCTCAAATATCAAAAGAACATATGCAAAGCACATTGTACCCCTGTATTTCAATTTAGTGCACCAGCGTGATCGAACAGCTTTAAAATGTATGACCATTCAAAAGGTCTTTGCTCCCTCAAGTGTTGCTACTCCTGTGTCTGTCTCCCTCCAAGTCAACGGTGCTACCATCAGCTCCACCGCAAAGGCTCGCTGCCTAGGTGTTCTCTGTACTCCGACCTCTCCTTCACGCCTCATGTTTAGTCTATCGCCAAATCCTGTTGTTTCCATTTCAAAAACATTGCGGGCATCCAACCCTACTAAACGTCAGATGCGACTAAGGTGCTGGTGCATTCCATTGTCCTTTCTCACCTTGACTACTGTTATCCGCTTCTCAGTGGCCTTACATGCTTCCAACTTGCAACGTTACAGTTCATAATGCAGCAGCGAGGCTCATCTTCCTGTCCGCCCGCACCACCCACGTATCACCTTTCTGTCAGTCCCTACATTGGCTTCCTGTAAGATATATGGCTCAATTTTAAATTCTGGTTCTTGCTTTCAAATCTCTGCATAATGCTGCTCCCACCTATCTATCCTCACTAATACACAAGTCGGGTGTAGGCCCTTACAATCTGCTGAAGACTTACTTTTTTCTTCTGTCCGTACTCCCACCTCTGATGCTCGCCTTCAAGATTTCTTGAGGGCTGCACCGTTCCTGTGAAACTCACTTCCCTCCTCCGTTAGATGCTCACCCAGTCTCCACTCCTTCAAAAAATCATTAAAAACCCACTTCTTCATAAAAGTGTATCAATTAAACTGTTAATAGCTCCTGACTGATTGCTCTTCTGCAACTGTCACTAGTCTAATACTATCCTTACCTTTTTGTGTCATTTTACCCCACTCCCTCTAGCATGTAAGCTCATTGAGCAGGGCCCTCAACCCCTCTGTTCCTGTGTGTCCAACTTGTCTGGTTACAACTACATGTCTGTTCGTCCACACACTGTAAAGCGCTACGGAATTTGTTGGCGCTATATAAATAATAACATCATAATAATAGTAATGATAATAATAATAATAAAAGTTTTCTAGGAGCGGTGGTATCTAGACTTTATTAAAAAGCTGGCCCATACTAAGAAACGGAAGATTTTTTAGTTGAAAACAATGAACTTTGAATTATGTCACTTTTTCTAACCAATTTTTATAATTGTTTTTTATTTTTATTTATTTATTTTAGATTGTGGTATTTAATTTATTTTAAAGTTCATTTGTATTGATTAAGTAATACTATATGCGTGGTAGAATATGTTTTGCACCATATAAATATTTAATATTGTTTTGTCATGTATTTATCAGTTTTATTCAGATTTACATTTAAGCCATTTATAGAGGCATTCTTCACTTAGGTCACAATGTTAAATGTTTTTAATTTTTATATCCATGCGGGGCACTCATATAGTTCTTACATCCTTGTAGATACAATTTGGGCAGTGAGGCTGCAGGAGCATGATCTATACACCAAAGCGGTTTCATTAAGCAAAACATTTTTGGTGACTATAATGTCCCTTTAAAGAGATACCAGCAACTTTTTAAAAAACACTCCAACTTTTCATTAAAAAAAATATTATTGTTTTTTACCTGACTTCACAATTTACACAGGTACTATATTTATATTATATCTAATTTGTATAACTGTTTTGCACTTTAAAAAATAAATAAACTATTGTGTACCATGACAGATACACTTTAATTTTTGTAGCATGGGAACAGTAAGTAAATGCGAACAATACGCATTTTAGATTTATTGATTATTGATTTAAATGTCACATTACTAAAGTGCAACAGATTATTTTGTATTTAAAAATGTGTAAAATAATTTACATTTAATCGAAGCACACATAGAATCATTCCTGAAATGAAATCATATTGAATAAATGACAATGAATATGTCTCTAACTTAATAATACGTTCATAGAAACAATGTGAATCAAGCCTACTATACTTACCCAACATAAAAAGTGCTATTCTTCCAGTATATTGGGAAAGTTTTCCAAAAAGTATAGAGCAAATTGAGTTTGCTGCTCCAAAGCAAATCATTACATATCCTACAAAATGAATCCCCAAAGTACACGTTACATATGCCTGGAAAAAAAGATGAATGAGTCACAGTTTGATTTGTAATAAGCTGATTTTTATGTTTGGTTTAAGGATATTTTTTTAAGAAACACAAAGGTAAAGGAATAGCTCCAATGATGATTGCAAAACATAATATAAACAGTTTTTTTTTTACATTATGATTTTTTTTTTTACTTGGTTACTTGGGGACTGGGCACTCAAATGACAGATGAAATTTAATGTTGAAAAATGCAAAGTTATGCACTTCGGCGTAAAGAATACACAAGCAACGTATACCCTTAATGGAAGCGAATTAGGGATAACAACACATGAAAAGGACTTGGGAATTGTTATAGACAACAAACTATGCAACAATGTGCAATGTCAATCAGCAGAGGCCAAGGCCAGTAAGGTATTGTCATGCATTAAAAAGGGCATTCATTCTCAGGACAAGAATATAATTTTGCCTCTTTATAAATCACTGGTAAGACCCCATATTGAATATGCTGTGCAATTTTGGGCACCTGTTCTAAAGAAGGATATTATGGCACTAGAAAAGTGCAGAGGCGGGCTACAAAATTAATAAAAGGAATGGAACATATCGGCTATGAAGAAAGGTTAACAAATTTAAACCTATTTAGTTTAGAAAAACGTCGCCTGAGAAGGGATATGATAACATTATACAAATATATTCGGGCCAATACAAACCATTGTGTGGAAATCTATTCACAAACCGGACTTTACATAGGACACGAGGCCATGCGTTTAGACTGGAAGAAAGAAGATTTCGCCTAAGGCAAAGGAAAGGTTTTTTTACTGTAAGAACAATCAGGATGTGGAATTCTCTGCCTGAGGAAGTGGTTTTACCAGAGTCCATACAGATGTTCAAACGGCTACTAGATGCATACTTGCAAGAACAGAATATTCAAGGATATAATCTTTCAATGTAGGGTAATAACTGGTTGATCCAAGGATAAATCTGACTGCCATTCTGGGGTCAAGAAGGAATTTTTTTCCTAGCTTGTTGCAAAATTGTGCTTCAAACTGGTTTTTTTTGCCTTCTTTTGGATCAACAGCAAAAAACTAATGTGAGGTAGGCTGAACTTGATGGACGCAAGTCTCTTTTCACCTATGTAACTATGTAACTATGTTATGACAAAAAAGAATACATCTGCAATGTTCTTGTTTGTTTTACATTTTTGGTTAGGGGTGTATATTTTATTTCTTTAAAAAATATATATAATTTCCTGCAGTTGAGCAGTAATTTACTAAAATTAAAATCAGGTTCAGGTACATTATCATTAGTTTATTTTACCTAATCTGCATCACTGCTCCACTAAATGCTAGGATTCAGCTTTGGTAGCATATCCACTAGCAATGCAGGATATGCTGCACTGGTATCTGGTTACTATAGGATATTCTATCTATCTAGTCATCTGGCAATACTCTATGAATAACTACTCTATAGAGGACAATAAATAGCAATACACCTGTGAGACCTCAAGGAAGAGACAAGCAAGCTTCTTCTTGGTTCAGACAACAGCCATTAACTTTATTTTACAGTTACTCAGCACACAATATTCAACGACATTATGTGTTACAGTTCCTTTCCCTCTTTGTGCATATCCACATTGACAACAGAGAGCTGTCTAGATTGGCCAGGCAGATATCTAGACCTGCACTTACAAGAGTCGACTTGTCGGCTCCAACAGGTTGTCACTTACAGTACAGAATTTAACCCAATAACCTACAAAATACATTTCACTCTAGCAATGTAGCATAGCACCTGACTATATGTTATGCCTACACAGAGCTGCTGTCCATCCCTCCCTCTTGACCCACAGCTGCATATACAGACACACACACTGCTCTGTGTATAATACAGGTACACACACAATACAGAGAGGACTATGTACATTGCAAATAGTATTTGATAGCATCCATTCTTTAGACTGACAAAACACCATGAGGTGGCACAAAATGGCGTCACAAGCTTGTGCAAAACAAATCGGGAGATCAGGCCACCCATCACACTAGCCTTTCCTACATATCTGTTTCTGATGTTG